GGGAGGAGGGGGGGATTCATCCCTAGATGGGATTGATGAACGTTTAAAGAATTTGAAGACACTGGACGATGAATGAACCTTCTCCAGTCCCTCCCTCCTCAAATATACAGGTCTATACCGAATACTTGCATCAGCGTGCATGAAAAAGGTTCAACAATCGAACGCCCTCGTGAAAGCATGGCGCACTACAGGGGTAATCAATAACTGAAAAGTGACGGTGGTAACTTATCACAGCTTCTGTCTTCACCAAAGTTGGACATAGGACTCTTCGTTGTATTCAAGAAAAACTTTAAAGTGTACTTACTGTAAGAAAATAGGAATTTATTCAAAATAGAAGTAAGACATGTGGAACACTGCTAAATAAAGACAAGAAAGGGAGTTTGAGACGGGTATAGTCGTCGAGAGGATCTGCTCTGAAAGCCTCCTTCAAACATGACCTTTTAGCCAAACACTACAACCGGAGCTCGATCACGAGCCTGATCTCTTCAGATAATCCCCCGTATTCAACGGAGTCGAGTCGAATCGTCTGAGTCGTCCTGGTTACGTATTCGTCGGCTTCTGTGCTACGGCGCTCAGCCTCTTATCAAGGTAAACAAGGTTGCTCGCGTGCACACCCAAGTGGAAAAAAGTGCGAGGGTGAGAGGCGGTTTTCAGTTGAGTGGTCTGATAGCCAAGAACTGACCAGAAATAGAAGGAACCAGCTAAAATTGTGCTCATGGGAAAACTTGCTCCGAGATTTTTCTTCTGGAGCAATTCAATCCTTCTCTGCCGCCTGTATGGATCAGTATGCATGATGGGTGAGCAACCGAACCACTTACTGAGAACCTCACGCTCCCACTAAGGGGCTAGATACTGAGGAATTGAGGTGTAGATGTTCCGAGGTAGTGTTAGACGTGTGTGGCCAGTGGCGAAATCACTAGCCGCTATTGAATTGGGGCACGGATTCGCTTACCTAGCAGAACATCCGGGCAAATAATCGCTCCGTTCCAAAAGACCCGAATTGTATTTCAACGAGGTCCGTAAGGGAATTAGGCATGCTTAGCTCAGTACCACGATTCCTTCGAGTATTCTCCGGCCTGGGCGAGTCCTCTCCTTATGATGGTTCTTCGCTCAAATCTGGACACCCTGTATGGTACTCTCCATCACTGTCATCATCGCTGCAGCTGCGGTGTCGAATATTCATGCGCTTGACCCTAAACGCTAGGCAGTTCATAGCCGTATAAATAATGTTCGCGACAGGCTTAGCAAATACTTTCTATTAGGCTGAATGGGTTCAGTGGATGTCATGATTGTTTGGAAGGAACGAGACCGCTTTTCCAACATCAAACAGTACCCTAGGATTAATGCAAAATCTCCTAGTGCCCCTGAATGCCATGACTGAATTGAAGAACATCCTTTTCCGAGTTTGCCCGAAGCCATTCGAAATTTTTCTAAGAAATCTGAAGTCTGATCCTTAATTGCTCTAACATTCCCTGTATAACTGAATTGAAAGATGTACAGGCGTGAAACAAGATCATCTGTTTACAGTCATCTCTCAAATCCTTCTGACATTCGGTATTCATCAGGAGTTAGACATACTAATCCCTCTCAGGTACGAATATTTTTTGTGGAATCGAAAAGGAACGGCTTTGGAAATATTGAATTGGAAAATTGAAACGTCGGCAGATCTGTTTGAGGGCCATTGTGTGATAATCGAGTGGAGTGAATAGCAAATATCTCGACGGTATATGGCGGCGTTGAAGTATTAATGGCCACTTGAGAGTTATTCAATGACACCTAGTCATGCTTTTGAGCCAAATTCTAAAGTCCGAAGGAAATTATGATACAGTATGCCTGACGAAATAAGTGACAACCCTTTTTTATCGTTGTCTATGCGATGGGCTGAAAGTTACAGTCACAAATTACTTGACAGTAACTTACTGTTCCTGGGTCACAAATCACAAATTCTTTTGGACTACTAAATCTGTCTGCCTCATGAATTACTATGAGGAGAATTCTAAAAATAAGCCATAATTATCGAAGGTTCAATAACGGAATTAACAACTTTTTTTGAGCGATTCCAAAGGCACGGCATGAGCGAGAATACCTCATGCCAGCTAAAATGGATCAGTGTGATCAAGGACGTAGTATTACAGTAGGTTCCTATCGTAAGACCTACTGACTTACCGTAATAGTTCTGTTAGAAATTCACAAGTTACCCTACCACAAAAACTGATATTCAATGATCGTTTTGCGGTTTGATCGGTAAGTTCGACCCATTTAACTTCACTTAATTGTATTCACTTTGAGAATTACCATATGGCCGTCCTCGCATAAGCAATTGTCCCACGTGATTCCGATCCCTCGCTGGTGGTAGATAAACGCGAACGTCGAACAGAGCCGAAGATTGAACCTTTCGCAGACCCTGAACCACCCACGTATTTAGTACGTAGAGCAGGTACTAAGAAATAATTCAAGAATAAACACTTACTGAAGTAGTGCCACCAATTATCAGGGAAAAAAGCCACAGACACGGTGAGGACNACGTCGAACAGAGCCGAAGATTGAACCTTTCGCAGATCCTGAACCACCCACGTATTTAGTACGTAGAGCAGGTACTAAGGAATAACTTAAGAAGAAACACTTACTGAAGTAGTTCCACCAATTATCAGGGAAAAAAGCCACAGACACGGTGAGGACACAAGCATCTTCTCTATTCAGGGCATGTTCTAAAATTGTCCTCCGCATCACAGCAAAAGACAAAATACGTAAACATTTAATGAGAGATAGGAGATGAAAATGGTAGCAGAAGTACGGTAGCAATAAAAACTTGGTTGTGATGGGCACGGCTCAATGCCACGAAAATTGCTGTGTGGACAAAATATGCCTTTAAATGGTTTTAGGGTTCTAGTTCCTCTACAAGCTCTTGAACATAGTTCCAGGTAGCACTCTTGGCTTTGACCACTTCCTAACCTGACATGCAGAAGGATGCTGAATTTCCAACTTCCGAAAAGATTTTTCGAACAGCACCTCTTATTTTTTCATTACTACTTTTTATGAGAAAAGACTGGTTCGGTTTCTTTTAATTATTAAAATCTATCCATAATGTGAAACAAAATGATTTTGAGACGAAGATTTGACCTTTCGCAGTTCCTGAACTACCTACATATTTGGTATTTAGAGCAAGTACTAAGGAATAAGTCAAGAAGGTATACGAGAAGGGAAAGCACTTGAGAAATGTCCCGCGTGTGACTGGTGAGGTACAAAACGAATTACAGACGGACGAATGGTTGTAATTACAGTATGCTATGAAAATCGACAGGTTACTGTAGGTAGACGACCTGCCACATGCAACAAAAGTTATTATACTAGAGAGTTACTAAAAATGAACAGAACTGAGGGGTCTGTCTCAAGTCTGAGGACATTCATTGGTCTATCAAACTGTTAAATGGAAGCAAAGCAGGTGATGTTATGCATAACTGCTGAAGCCGGAAGATGGAGCCCGATTCGGTATGCTTACGTTCGCTTAAAAGGATTAGACGGCATTCGATCGCTTCGTCAAACAGAAGGCATCCCCGTAGCAATTGCCTTCAAAGACGTGCGCTACAATTGCGTAACAGTATGGAATTTGAGGCTGCGGAAGTGGGTAGAACCTAGGGTAATGTCAAACGAAAACTAGCTTTTTTTCTTAAATAAACAAAATTCGCACAGGTAATATTATAAAACTATGACGGAGGTCGAGTAGTGGCAAACGGCACGTTATCACGCACGCATGGCTACGAGTTCGAATCCTGGATCGATATCAGCCCGGTCCAACCGGGCCTTTCATCCCTCTGAGGTCGCCTGATTGGTATCAGACTCTTATGGAAGGCTTAATGAATGACTTGAACATCGGCTGACTAATTCTATAGGCCATCCATGCATTCAAAATCTTACTACGAATCTGACTCGAAGTCTAAGGCGGTGCTCACCCCAAACGGGACTGATCAAGGTCAAAGACA